TTCCTATTAGTGAAGTATAGGAGTTTCCATCTAACTACACATGTCAACATTTCCATTATTATGTACTTAAAATACTGAATAATACTATAATTTATTTTCAAGAATGTTGATGAAAAATTTCAATTATTGTTATTTGAGGAAATACATGGGCTTCAAGATGTCTTACATGACATCAATAGGCTAGCAAACAATTTTGATAATTTTTGATTATTCAGTTGAAAATTAAACATTCTAAAAACTATAACTTCTAAGAAAAATAATCCTATGAATTAGAACAATGAGCAAGAACAATATCTTATGTATGTTATTTAGTCACAACGTAAAATAGAATTGAACAAAGAAAGTCCAATTAGATGGTCAAGGCCATTAACTGAAAATTTAAAGATAAATACTGTTAGGTTCTATTTCCTAACTTTAACCTTTCTTCATAATTATGATTTAAGTATACCACACACAATCAGTATAAAATTGGATTTTTTCTCTATAATTTTTAATTTCTTTTATAGGTGAGTTTAATTCATCTATACTCTGGTCCCCAAAATATGTAGATTTATTTTTAGCATCTTATTTACTGTTGGCATTCACTATGTGTTTTCTTCTTTCTTTCTTTATTTTTGCTCCTTTTCAGCCCTTAAAATTTTTATTTTGAACTTATACATTCAACTTTTACATTTGTCTTAACATTTTAACTGGAACATTTGAGTCATTAAAATTTAGTGCAAATAACATTACTATTGTTTTCCTGAATAGTATGTGAAAACTGGACAATTCTCAGTTGAGACCTTTCCATGCGTGTGTGCATAGTTGCAAGCATTTTAAAGAGCCAGTTCTTATTTTTGGCAGTTTATTCAATGAGGGTAGTGGGTACTCTCTTATACAATTGTCTGAAAATCTTTTAAGGGTTGTTTTCTTGTGTAATAAATGTGCAACTTTTTAAAAATATATTTTTTTAGTTGAAAATGGACACAATATCTTTATTTATTTATTTGTATGTGGTGCTGAGGATCAAAGCCAGTAACTCAAATGTGCGAGGCAGGAGCTCTACCACTGAGCTACAGCCCCATCAACTTCTTACTCTGTCCTCCAATGGGTCTTAACAGTTCTTTTACATAATCATTTTTTTTTTTGTTTTTCTTCCCTGTATTGTAGGAAATTTCCTGAGAGCTACATTCCAGTTAACTAATTTTCCCTTCAGCTTTATCTATAGCTATGTCTGATTTTTAGTCTGTCATTACATTTTAAATTTGTCATCATGCTTAATTTCTAGACTTTCATTTGATTTTCCCTCAAATGTGTCTGTTCTTTTAACAATATTCTCTTCTATCACTGTATTTATATTACATTTAAAACATAGTCTGTCTTTTCATTTTTACTTTGTATAGGGTCTTGATCAGATTGCTATGAGTATGTTCTTAAAATGCTAACTGTATATTTCAGACTCTCCTTTACAGTGAACTGTTTTCTTGGATGATTTGAAACTTAGTATTATAAGTTTATTTTCAGGGGTGAGCTATTTTTGTCAGACCAATGCACTTCAATTGTACAAGGGACCCAGATGAGTGGCTTGCTGTTCTGCTAGTGCCCCAGAAGTTTTACTCAACACATTAATTACACATCTTTTGTTTTTGCTGCCTGTACTATATCCACACCAGAGCATGCCAGAGCTGGGTGTACTAATGTGGTTTTACTATAGGTTTTATTTAAGTGAAGACTTTGTTTTCCTCTGACCTACCATGAATTTTCCTGTGGTTTTCTTGGGCTGGTGGGTGAAAATATCCTAGTCATTTCTCATGGTGAGGCAGCTATTTATGAATTCAGTTTTATTCAAGGTTCTTGTTTTCAAGTCTCAGATCTTTGCTTTCACAAGGCCAGGGCTTCTGCCTCTCTGCCCAAACTAAACCCCTAACTCCTGGCCCTGAGACCTACCTACTCCCATGTCTACTGCTCCTGTTGGCTATCCTGCTGGCCCACACTTACCTCTCCCTTTGAATAGCAACTGCATTTCTGGAACTTGAGGATTTCCCTCCCTCCCTTTCTATGTATGTGTTTTATCCAATATTTCCACTATTTTGAACCAAAGTTATTTGTATTAAGGTAAGTGGTTAAGGAAGAAGTGTGTCTGAATTTGTTGTTTTGAATAAAATAATAAACATTGACAATCACATTTTCTCTATATTTCACATTGTATTACCAATTTAGCTTTTTTAAAAAATTGCTACACACTACCACCCATATCGAGGTAACTTAGTCCCACTCACATCCACTATAAACTATGATTACTCTTATCCAACAGTATACCTACATTTATATCAGAATTTTACATATCTATATTGAGTAGATTCAGAGATTATATTTTATACCTGGCTCAATGGTAACTAGGCTAGTTTTATTTTGAGCTCTATTGCAGTATTGCTGCAATACATTAAGACACTAATTCTCCAAAAGTAAAATATTAAATGATAATTTCTAATTGGTAATGAAAATTTTCTGCCTGTTTTTTCTACTTTTGTTCTTTTTCCTACTATAAACCTCATCCCTCTTGTAAACCATGTAGTTTCATTGTTAAGAAAGTCTTTTGTTTTCCAAAGTAAAGGTCCCAAGTAATATTATTTCTTTGAAAGACTTTGGCCAGAAACACCAAGCTTATTGGTAAACAGAAACTATAGCTTTCACTGTAAAATACTGTAATTACACAGCACAGCAATATCTCTGTGGTTTTTATCACTGAGGAAATCAATAGTAGAATAGACTACAATTCTCTGTTGGATAACAGTAGATATAAGAGGGTAGATGAAAGGGTTTATTGACTTAGTAGGTGTGCTACGATAGCAAATCAGAGCTGCCCAAGGAAACAGCTTTTTAACTGAATGATTTTAATCCAAACATCAAAATGTTTCAGTCTAACAAAAGACTTGATAAAAATTAAACAAAACAAACAAACAAACCCCAAACCCCTCTTGTAGTCTCATGTATTTTCCCTATTTACACACAAACTCCAGACAATAATTATTGGCAAATATCCAGTCACAAGAAAAAATTCTTTGTGAATAAGGAATGATCTAGATGTTAAAGAGTTCCATGCCATGAAAGCCTTAGTTTGATTATTTCATATTTGTGTTTGACCAACTTAGTCCCACTCACATCCACCATGAACTATAAATTATCCAACAGTATATCTACATTTACATCAGAATTATATGCATATATACTTGAGTAGATTCAGAGATTATATTTTATACCTGGTTCAATGGTAACTAGGCTAGCTTTATTTTGAGATTTACTGCAGTATTGCTGATGAACTATTTATTAATACATTAAGACACTAATTCTCCAAAAGTAAAATATTAAATGATAATTTTTTCTACTTTTGTTCTTTTTCATAATTTAGAAAGACTCATTTTGTATAACTAAGAAATGATCCAATGTTCCAACTTGTAGCATTGCAATCCTTGTTAAATAGGTTGTTGTGAGGATTATTAAATGTGGATAGTAGAAACAATAGATATTAAAGCATTCAAGGTTGAAATATTAAATTGAGAAAGAAAAAAAATGTGTAAGAGGGAAACAGAAAAACTCTAAATATTGCTACTTTTCAACTACATAAAACAGTTTGTTCTATAGTAAAGGAGGAATCCCACATCATAAAATTGTTAAACAAAATAACTTGTGCATATTATGTTGTTATTTTATTTCTCAATTTAAACTCCAGCATAGGGGAGGAACCCTGTATCTCTGGATAAATGGTTGGTAAAACAGCTGTATTCTTCTCATTCTAGCATTTCTGATACAAACTTAGTGAGAAGCACAGTAGCAGGCCCCAATCATAATCAGAGGCTATATGCTGCACTTAGCAGCCTGTTCTCAAAGAATGCAATGTGTGGGGAACATAAAAATAGAGGCCGATTGAATTTTTACTGTGTGAGCAGCATAATTATTTATTTGCATTTTAAGTGAGATTTCCTTTTAAAGTTCCTTGAGTGTATAGATTCTGAAAGGTAAACAGAATTTCATATGTGTGGCGAAAACAAAATACTTTTCCTAAATAATAAATACAAATTGCTCTACACAAATACATTTGATTGCTTGAATTCTGCAAGCAATCTGTAATGCATTATAAGAAATGTCAACATTTGGCCACCATTAGTTCAGATCCAAATGCAACACTTTGATCCAATCATCTGAACAGGTGCAATTTCAGTACAATTCTTAGCACCTTCATTCATGGTCACAAAAAAGATGATAAACTGTGAACAGCTAAGGGCTCTCAGTAAAGGGGTAAGAGTATATAAGTATGGAAATCAAATTACCATGTCATTAAGAAAATCTAAATACAAAAAACATCTAAGAAACAAAGACATGAAAATGGAGGTTATGAAGTTAATATTACCCACTGTGCCACTCTTATGCATTCATTTTTAAAATTTATTTTATTAACATTATGTATTTTAAATATATTAAATCATACCCACATTATAATTTCTCACACAACCTCAATACTTTAAGAAATTGTGAGATATCCTTACTAAACAGATATTATGAATTGGTAAATCTACCTGCAGAAACGTTCACAATCCTTATATATTTTACACTTCATAGACATTGGTTTGGTGCATGGGTTATGAATAAATTGCTCACTTTTTGGAAGTCATGTCTTGATTCTATGAGGAGTTTAGGGTGCCCTTTTGTGCATGCTAATAAAACTGAGTAATGGTTCCTTGGTGTGGAAAGAATGACAGCCCCTGCACGGAAATGACTAACTCACTCCTTGCTCATGGAAAGCAATGCTGCGTGTCATTTGTTCACTAGACATAGTTATTATTCATTCTGGTTCCTAGGAGATTAGCTTTTTCCAATTTTAAGAGAGAACTAGGATATTGCTACCTTATTGCATTTTTTATTGTTGTTCCAAGAGTTCTTAATTTCTAATATTTCCTTCAAAGATATCCAAATGGTTTAATCCCAGGCCCCTTAGCGTCTGTACTTTGCTCAAATCCACTTACTCTGCATGCAAAGCCCATCGGTGCAGTTCTTCGATTGCAAGACCAGGCCGTCGCAGTCCTTGCCTCCATTCTTAGGGGCTGGTGCTGTGCACTCCCTCCTGCGCCAGTGGGTACATTCAGTCCCACAAGTAGACCACTTGCTCCATGAGGTCCATCTGCCATCCACTGCCATAAGAAAACCAGCATCAGGTCAGAGGGAGAAGCAGCTACTCAAAGGGCCAAGGGGGCAGAGTTTGAGTATAACATAACAAAACACAAAATGGAGGAAAATACCCCACTGAGAAGTATTACGTTAATTTCAAGCACCAGAAAGTTTATCTGATGTACTGTACACAGTCTGAGTTCTGTGAATAGTTTTGAATGTCATATGACTGTTTTCTCACTGAGGAGCCAAAGAAGGCCCACTGGGGCACATAGAAACCAAAGTTGTCACCAGGAACTGCGTAAATGCATGCTATAGTGCCACCCTTTTTTCTACTGGGGGGAGCTTCTGGATGTTGTGTGGAGAATTAGGGTTCTCTTTTTGGATCCAAATTTCTCTCATTCATGGTAACATGTGAACAATGAAAGCAAACTTACGTGCAAGTTGGAAAAAAAGATTGGTATAGTAGGGAAGAAATCCATTCATTCATTTATTCATCTCTCATTCTTGCTCTGTCACTCCATCTGTCCATTCATCCATCCATCCATCCATCCATCCATCCATCCAAATAATCAGTTCACCTCCATCTATATTTTATATACTTTTAATTTTTCCTTTTTTTTAATTCAGACTGCATGATTTAGCTGAAATCTTCTGCCAATGCCTTCTTTAAAAGGCTATTATTTGATGATTCCATTATTTGATGATGTATCCTTTTTTTGTCGGGTAGAGTATTGCATTTCAGACACATGTTCTCACTGAGTTGCTTAGCAAGTCGCTTTTGCTGAGGCTGGCTTTGAACTAGTGATCCTCCTGCCTCAGCCTGCTAAGCTACTGGGATACATTCCTATTTATTTAAAAAAATAATATTTAGCTAAGTTTCTAATTTTTGCCATGATTGCATTATTTAGAATTGGCTCACTTTCTTTCTAATTTTGGTGGCTGACTTGTGATCAATTTCAATGATAATGAACTAAGATATCTCTTTTAAAAACATTCTACTTAAGTCTCAATTCAAAAAAATACATAATAAATTTAACTGGCTTACTTTAAAATGAATCTTTTAGTTTTTTCACAGAAATAGGTTAAAAATATTGTACTACAAGTTTTAAAATGTTTGATTTTTTAGTGAAACACATGTTAATTATGATTAGCTAGGTTTCCATGTATAATACTATCAAACATTATTTACTGAACATCTAAACCTCTAAAATCTGGATATTGATAAAAAGTTATAAAAATGTTAATAGTTTACATAGTTTGGGACATCTATATGATTACATGGTCTAATAACTATGTAAATATACATACTGTGCATAAAGATATAAACACACTTGCAGGAAAAAAATGAGGATAGCATTATTATTTCTACCATACAGAGTTAGCTACAAAAGCAACTCCCACCATCTGAAGCAAAGACACTTGCTTTGACATAGAACATCCTGGTGTACTGAAACACACACACACACACACACACATACACAACATGCCACACACACTTCTATTTTAACTCAAATTGATCTGTGCATTTTTAATTGCGAGAGTCAGCACCTAGATAAAATATAGGAGAGTGCAAGATAAAATTTGAAATTCTAAGTCTAGCTGAGTGTCAAAATTTGTTCCATAAATAAAAGCTCTCAAAGGTTTCAGTGTGGAAAACTATTTTGATAGTTGGAAATCGATGCATGAGAATGTAACATATAGATTTTATTTTTCACTCCTGTTTATTTCTCCATCCCATTTTTGACAAATGTTCTATTAAGTATGGACAAAACAAAATTAGGTAAAGAGAAGTAAGGAGGTTATGTATCTAAATAATAAAATTGTCAACAAAATAACTACCCCAATGAAAATATTAAATTTATTGATTATTTCAAAGTAATTGTAGCTTAACTTTGGGACACATTGTATAATGAGGCATTTTAATATATTTTGGTTTTGGCAAATAGTAACTTCAGTTTGCCTATGTGTATTAGCAATATGAAATAGTATTAAAAATGCTAACAGGCAGAGGGATGCAATTTTGCTTCAGGTACCACTGAAAATAACTCACAAAACAGATGACCAATATGTACAGATAATAAAGAGCTGACTGCATTGTATTTTCAAAATCCATTAACTTATAAGTCACAAAGCCTTGACTTCCTTTTAATTCATTCCAAATATTTTATTTGCCTTTGCCCAAAAACTGACACCTTGTGCAGAAAAGAAAAACATTTCAATAAAACGTATTTTCTAAACTGCAATTTCAACTCATTTCCATGGTTTTCTGAAGATCAAGGGTTGTTATTTTTAAAATGTGTGGTTTTTCAATTCTGTTCAAATTCCTTGAATTTTAGAGCCTACAATCTTGGCTCTAGAAGTTTCATTGATATAAAGAGATTACGTTCACATGTTTCATTTCCTGTTTTCTAATATTTTATATGTTGAGATAGCAAAGTTATTCTTTTTGAGGAAGGTACTTGTTTTCTCAGCAATATAAATAATGAATACAGAATAGATTTAAACAATGTTTATCACAGATTTAGTTCAAAAGTAAGGCCTTTGTATTCATTTCTAAAACTCTTTCTAGAATTATGGAGACAATTGGAATAAAAGGACTTGTTTGTTTACCTGGGCACAGTGTAGTACAGGCTATTTTCTGCACGCTCTGCCCCTCACAGAAGGCCCCGCCATTGAGTGGTGCTGGGTTGGTGCAGGTCCTTGTGCGTTTCTGATACCCTCGTCCACAGCGGCTATTACACACAGACCACTCTGTCCAGGTGGACCAGCCACCATTAACTGAAAAGAGGCAACAGTAAAAAATGGATTAAATGTGTTATGTACACACAGACACACAAACCACACACAACACACAAATAGAAAGTCATCTCCCAGTGACCATTGAAAAAAATCTAAATTTCAAAGCTAGAAGAGGGATTCTGGGCATCATTTCAAAGTTTTATTGCATAATTGAAGAATCTAAACAAAGGGATACACAAAATATTTACCATAATTTACTTATACAGAAAAATAAATTATAATGTGCTCAGTTTTCCTTGGCTAATATTCTCTAAAATTAAAATCTGTCCCCTTACCTAGTTGAGCTCCCAAAATTACTTTTGATAGTTTATCTCAAATAATAAATGTTTACATGTTTATGCGATGCCACAAGTGGATTTGTAAGATGGGAACTAAAATAAAAATCACTTAGCCTTTTGAAAGAAAAGGAGCAGATGATTGGTTATTTTTCTTTAGCACTTGCAAACTTTATAAGCTCTTAAGAAATTTTAGTTTCACAAATTAAAAAGTAAACTTAGTTAAAAAATAAAATCTCATAGTGTTAGAGTTCTAAATTGACCAGCAATTTGAGTGAATTGGCAATTAGTTTACATAATTGAAATGGACACCTATTTTGTGTAGAAAACCTAATTATGGTGTTTGATGGAGCTGTCAGTACATGTACGATTATAAAACCTACACCCTAACACTCCAGAGACTATTCACCTTCAGAGATCTCCTCCTAGAGAATACTTATAGTTTATGAGTATTTTGATAATGTGAGTTCACATAATTACTATGCCAAAGCAATTTCTAAGGAAAATTATTTGCTGTAGTTCAAATATGGTACAACTAGTATATACATTTGTCTTCTGATAGTAAAAAAGTGTATTAGCCATTGAAGTAATACAAACCATATATGTGTATCATTTGTTCAACTTCTTATTTGCTAGAAACCCATCCAATTGGGAATAAGCATGAGTTTGTTTACAAACAAAAGTTTTTTTTTCTTTCACAGCAGAGCTTTTTTAATACATAAAATAAAAAATTAAAACACTTGTAATGTTCAAAAACAGAAAGTGATAATATAAACTATACTATATTAGCTTGTGTGAGAAGACTCCTGGGCAGCTATTAAAAATGATGCTGAAGAAGGCTATTCATATATTAAAGTATATGAATATTGCGATGTTATGTTTTAAGTAAAGATAATACATGTATATCCCTTATTTTAAAATCCAGTATATGCATAGGAAATATCAGTGGTAAAATATATATATATATATATATATATATATATATATATATATATACACATATATATATATATAATTTTTTTAACAAACGAGTCTGTAGATGATAAGATGACAGGATTATAATTATTTTCCTCTTTGACCTTTTCTATGTTTTTTGAATTTCTTCTACTGGCTATATATTCTTAATCTAAAAATTGTACTAATAAAAAATAGAGAGAACAGACTCAAAATAAGAAATACTGGTTAGATGTATGTTTTTCTATGTCCTTCTAGTGATCCCAGCCTATGAGCCTTGGACAACCTATTTCATGAAGCCATGAAAAGGATAAGTGTTCTAACAAGCAATTGAACCTGCTCAACTTAGCAACACTTCCCATGCCATGGAATTGCCTGTATAAAAGGCTTACTGGCCTATTGTCAAGCAATTGTTTAGGGCTGTAGGATACATGTACTACTCTACTCAAATTTTAATGAGAAATAAATAATCAGAAACTTTTAGAGACAGAAACATCTTTGCAAATCCAAGGCTCTATCCTTCATTTTACGGAAAAGGAGACAAGGGCTCAGAGAATCTTGGTTTAAAAAGGACAGTTAGTAGAGGATCTAGTCCTAGAATACATGATCCCTGACCTTAGTTCTGACCTTATCTCAAAATGCTTAAGTTACTAATGTTTGTTCCTTCCTAAGACAATGTAATCATTACATTTATAGATATTGAAAGGATGTATGCATAGGAAGAGATTTGCATGTGTGTTAAATATCTATATAATACATCTATATATAGTCTGCCTTCATTAGTTATTTATGATTGGTACATGCAGTGATTGGACCCCATTTCTACTTTGCATTTCAAATGCTGTTAATCAAGTCTTTCAGGCAGCTTAGACAAAGATAAAAACTAGGAAACATTTTATTGTGATTTAAGAAACACAACTGCTTACGATTCAACATAGTCGTTTTCTGGACAAGGAAATTAAACCTCAGAGTAATCAGAGGATTAAAAAAATTGTATGCATCTGTCCTGTAATTAAAGTGACAGTTTTAAAGCATCACTACATTCAGCCTTTGGAACATCATAATGTTTCTGTTCTCATAACTCCTTACATCATAACCACACATCCACTGGGATGGCAGGAGAGGCAAAATTTTAATCTCAATATTTCTAGGTTTGTTTTTTCATCTGGACCTGATTAAACTAAATAAGAGATAAAACAGGAGGAAAGCATATAAATTTATTTAATACAATATATAGGAAATTTCATAAAGAAATGAATACCCTAAAATGGCATTAGAATTAAATATTGTAGGATGAATAGGACAAAGAGTGTTAAGTTTTGAAAAGGTAACAAAATTATGTGGTGAGGTTAAAGGATTTAGTGTTATTTTAATAAGATCAGTATAGACTTATCTCAGTCTCCAATTCCTATCCTTAATGGTAAGGATGTTATTTCCCTTGTAGGATATGGAAAACACCTTTCATATGAGAATTTAATTTCCTGATTTTAAGAAAAAGAAGGAAGGTTAGAGTGATCTTTCTGTACATGCTGTTTTTCAAGTGTCTTTAATTCAAAAAAAGGGTTAATAATCCAGAATGGCATATTTTGAGGTGCTATATTCTTAACTACTTGAGCACTACCTGCAGTAAGTACCATGAACCATATACATGCCAGTGACTGTCCCTCTTTCAGTCCCTCAGACACCAAGTCCCCGGATATCATTTACCACGGAGGCAGGGATGCAATCTTTGTTATGCTCTGAGTGGTGTTGAGACCTGGGCATGTCATGCAAGAGGGAGCACCACCTCAAAATATTTCCCAGGGATGTGCAATTTTCTCTGGGACAATAAATCCACAATGCTATGAAGACTTATTGTAAGTCTAACATGGTGAGAAATATGTAAATACACATCCCAGTCTCACGGTCTACAAAAAAAGCTAAAAGCTTAGCAGGGGAGTTAAAACCACTTGAGAAATGACTAGAAGACAACCGAGAGCTAAACTGCACATGGAGATAAAAGCAGATATGCCACATTAAAATGTAGTGTGAAATTGGTTGGTACTTGAGGAGAAATGATAGGTTTAGAGATGAGCTGGATTAGAGTGGGGAAAAGCTTCCTGAAAACGTCCTCACGTGAGACTTTGCCAAGTCGTGAGAATGAGTGTCACTCGATCGTGGCTGCCTTTATCTCTGTGCCTCTATGGAGGGAGCAAAGCAAGTTCTATGGATGTCAAGTTGTTCTGTGGTGTTTGGGGAACAGGTTAGCTCCAGTTTTCTTGAGGTTTCACAATCACAGGGCTGAGCTAGGACCACAGATGCATCAGTGGGCTGCTTAAACACCTCCACCTCTAGGCTCAATCCAGACCTGGGCGGTGCAGGTCATGGACAGGTGAAAGCTTAGGGAAGCAGTGTGCCCTCATAGACATCCTTTACTGGTCTATGAACTGACTGACAAAGGACTAGCAATGGCCAAGCCTAGTTCTTCTTAAGAGGATCAGGGAAGCAGCTGTGGGAGACAGGACTGAATGGCAATAGGGACTGAGAAGTGTCCTTGACTCGAGACTCTAAAATAACAATGAGAAACTGCAGTTTGACATGATCTAGGTTGAGAACACCCAAATATGACACTCACCATAGACTATGACAGTAGCGGTTGTGCTTTTCCTCTTGGCAACAATGTTTTTGGCGACACAGGTATAATTTGCAGTATCTGAGAGGCGGGCCTGCTTTATGATTAGGTTGTGATCGATTGTGATATAAAAGTTTCGATCTTCAACAGGATCAATTATGTCTTCATTTTTCAACCATTCCACCTAAAGATGCAGACAAACAAACAAACAAACAAACACAAAAACAAAAACAAAAAACCCAAACAGATAAATCCCCAGTGTGGATCCCTCGATGGCTGCCTATCTCCATTTGTATTTATATGTACAACATTGTTCCATGCTATGAACTTCTGCAAACCAGGGGGAAGTAACTTTCTGAGGTCATGTTAAGTATCACTCACCTGCCAAACATGCTGATTCTGTCTGTACTACATTATTCTCAAATGTCAATGAACCAATTGGGAAATACAGTGTTCAAATTGTTTTCACTTTGCCCTGCAGGCAGGAACCTGGAATGTGCACTGCCAAGTTCAGAGCCCAATCAAAAATAATAGGCTAAGCATTTCCAACTGAACTCATACCTTTTGCTATTTGATTTGTTTACTCTTGGCAAACTTACCTGCTGCTTTTCAGAAAAGAATATAAGGACTATAAAAAAGGCATTTTCGACATTATGTAGCTCTAACAAAATAACATTTGGATGATTTACGTGTAGCCTCACTGCAACATATGGATTAAATTTCCCTGAAAATGCTCAGACTTTAAAATGTAGCAAAAACACATATTTGGTGATGTATATAAGCCAAAATATTTGGGAAAAAAAGATTTTTCTACCAATCCTCAATATAATCAAAATAGCTCATAAGTCATACTCTGATTTCTCTTTTTCTACCTGTACTATTCAAATCTTTCACTCATGGTTTGCTTTTGGGGAACCTGACCTAAGACATGACTGTACAGAACTATTGAACTATTGTTTTTCTATGCAAATGATATCAATTTAGCAGCAGTGATGTTATCCTTGCTGAATAAAAGGAGGGAAGTAAACCTGTACAGGCTGTCCTTCCTGAGGGTAAACTATATCATATTCTGGCTTTTTAAACGATGCATAGGTTTTTCCATAAAGCAAAAAACAACCTTGATATTTACCACACTTAACGTTTCCTTTTGCATTAGAGTGGATGTGGATACAAGCAACCTTTAGTGGTAGGGAGTCAATACTGTTGCCATTTTCAAAATCTTAAAGAGCTTCTCTGGCACTGCAAGAGGTCTAAAAATTAATCTCTAAATCTGTCAGTGGGCTTGACACAGCACAGTTCTAAGTTATGTCTAATGCAGGGAGTCTCAAATAATGCTCCTCTAATCCTTACAAAAGGGGCCAACATTTTAAAGGGTAAAACAAAAGGCAATCACAATCCTGAAATGTAGGAGGGATGGGGATGCAGATTAGAGCAACTATTTGTAATAATGTAAATTTTGGAATAGTTAAACACTCTTGACATTTGTTCTAATGGTAGTGAGAAAGAGAATGGAATCCATATAAAACAGGAGATTTTTAAAGTGTGTGTTTTGTTTTCAAATATAGAATATACTCAGCTAGGAGCATGCTTGGATGTATCCGATATACATACTCATACTCCCTGGACCTGGGTGGATTTTCTCAGAGTTTGGTCCAAGTACAATATTATGATCTTGATGGAAATACACAGGAGAAAGTAGCAAAATGGATCCAGTCTGAAATCTCCTTGAAGACAGTTGAAAGTAGACATTCATATATTTTGAATCTAGTCTTTAACTGGGTTATCTCTGCTACTATCCTAAAGAAAGCTTTCTATTTATAGAAGGCATTCTTGGGTTCCATTTCTATTGGTCTTGGATCCCTACTTTTTGTGTTAATATGCTTATTTCTCAAGGATCCATATCTCCTGTTCTTTGAGGGATATCCCTCAGACTCATGAACTCTCAGGCACTTGGAGAGTTCACAACTTCTCCCCACAGGTTTTCTGCTAACCATTGACCAATGGGGGCAGAAATATGCCTACTGTCCAACTGGGTCAGAACTGAGTTGAAACTCCTCAGAGTTTGATCAGTCGAAATGTTGTGACCGTGAGACCTTGACTGAATTTACCCTAGACATCTTCGCCTTTTATCTCCCACTTGCTCTGCTCATTTCATGAGCTCTACTGGGAGTACTTCCTTAAAAATATACTTGCAGTTAAATGTTTGGCTCTTGGTTTTCTTCTGGAGAACTTAACTAAGTCATGGTTGTCCAAAACTCTGGCTTCTCTATGTAAATTGACATCAGTTTAACAACAGTTAAGTTATCCTAATCACAACTGACAAAAAGAAATCTCAAGGGATATTGATTGCATACTTGTTTATTGGAAGGGTTTATTACATGGAAGAAAGAGTTCAATATGCATGGTTGACAAAAGATTTAAAGAAACATACGTACTTGCTGGGTATATGATCTTTATGTTATCATACATAATGCCACATTTTACTTGGTTGTTTCTCACCAATTTTGGATCAGTGATTTTGTCCTGAGCCTCTGGAACCCCTAAAAGTCCCCCATCCCCTGCAATGCTGTGGAGGCTCCAGGGTCCTGTGCAGGGCACTGTTCTCCTCCGTAATGACCTCTTTAATTCAGAAGCTGTGCTTTTATCTTTTCCATATTTGGTTGGCTTACATACCTTCATTGGAAGAAACAGAGGGTTCTAAAGCTAGGAAATAGCCATAAGAATAAAGGGAGAGCTAAGGGTTCTTCCCCAGCTTCTGGCAAGTTCCCTCAGTTCCCCACAGTGCTCTGTACCACCAACTGTGCCATGGTCCTCTGCTTTGAGAACATCACCTCCAGGGGAGGCTCGGTTCAGGGCTGCAGGTCATCCCTTACCTCCTGCACTATATGATCCTTAGTTGTGCTACGCATCTCCATTGCTCCAAATCTTGAAACCCTTCCATGCTGGCTTGATATCCGGCAGCAAAACCTCCCAAGTTTCAACCTCATTTTAGATTGTTTACTTCACCTTTTTCCTACTTAAGCCCAGCTCCTTTTGGATATTTCTTTTGGAGTCCTCTCAAGTGGTAGATGTTTGATTTCCAAAGTCCAACTAACCTGGGCCTGGCCATCAGGTAAGTGTCCTTGTTCCACACTGTCTATTTCAGTTCATTCTTTTTTTGCTCTGAATCTCATGATGAAAAGCAGAACTTTTTTAGGATTAAGGGATTAAAGTCTCTCAGGGCAGGATGAGACAGGCAGCCTAGCTCTCAGTCTTATGTTATTAGTAGCCATCTAGGAAAACTAGGAGTTAAAAAGTGAGCTTGTCTTCAGGGCCATGAACAAGCCAGGAGACAGGAGGCTGAGAAGTCAGCTCAGCCCTCTGAGATTATGTAGTCAGCAGAAATGCCGAGAAGCTGGAGCCAGACAAAGCAAAATCACCGCGTCAAGGCCCCTGAGACAGAACAACCGTCTGCCTGGTTCTGAAATAACGTTAGGAATTTTCTCAGATGATAAGGAGCAGCTCCAGGTGGTGAGAGACAAATTCATGTGAAGAATAGTCACTAACGAGACTCAAGGTCACCTTTACCTTATTAGCATAGTAAAATATACAGCTCTAGGTGGAGATTTAAGAGGGTAATGAGACAGGGGACTCATGAATTAGCCTAAGAAGAAGATACATGCACAACCAAACCCCCACCTCTACATGTGATGACATCACAAAACTGGGTTCCTACCTGCCCCATAAATGCCCATAAAAGCTACATATCTTTGTCCTTTGCTTGTACCTGCCTACAACTCTGGGTCAGTGTCTTTTCCCTTCTCATTCATGCAGAACCCCTCCCCCAACAGTCTTGTTACACTGTGCTTCTGCCTGATTCTTCCAGTAGGGAGCACAGAACCCAAGAGCCAGTGACAATGCCCTCAGATATCACCTAATATCTGTGTTTTTTCCTATAGTCATCTACAGACTTCTGGGCTTATAGTTACTCCATCCAACAAAATTTCTGATTACTTTAACACCCTCAAAGATGACACTTTTAATGTCGTGGCCCTTCAGTTTCATGTCCCTTTCTCCCAGAACAATCTTGGCTATGAAGATCACACATTCTAGGCCAGAGGTTTTCAACCCTGGTTTTATGACAGAAAAACTTAGAGAGCATTTGTAATGTGTAAGTTCTAAACTCAATCCAGAGAAACTTCTGACCCATAGAAATTCTGATTCTCTAATCTGAAGAGGTCTAAAGTCAGTATTTTTAAATTTCCCCAGGGGGTGGTAATTTACCGCTAGATTATTGCCTTTCAAAGTGAGATCCCTGGACCAACACCCTGGGAGCTTGACAGAAATTGCAGAACTCAGACTCTGCCCACCTAGACTTACTGATACAAAATGTGCTCCCTAACAAGAATTTTGGTTGATTTATATACCCATTAAAGGTTGAGACATATTGGTTTGGCTCTTGTCCTTACCATTAATTACGAGCTCTCTGAAAATTCAATTTCAAACATGCCTTTTAACGTTTTCTGTCTTTCCTGCTCACTTTCCGTAGGATCTCTTGCTTAACAATCCTTCACCAAAACTTAAAAAAGCTACTTCACTTACCAATTTCATTTCTTACCCTCCTTTAGCTACCTATTCCTTTTTCCCTAAGCATAAATTCAATGTCTAATTTTATAAATAATCCTTACATTATATCCTCAGCTCACTCATCCTTCTTCTCTTACTTCTGGGAACTCACTGGTCACTATTCCCCTCTACCACCTCTGAATCCTTGAAGTGGAACATGGCTAGAAACAGCCATATTGGATGCTCTCATCCAAAATTCATGAAAACAGAACACAAGTGGGCTTTGGATTCTGCCAAAAAGTCATACTATATTTTCATCATCTGCTCACTCTCCCATTCTCCTAGACAAATGTTTCACACTTTGTCCTCTCTCCTCAAACACTACCTCCCCCTCGCTCCTCACTTTCAGCTGATGACCAACACGAATACATAACCGAGAAAACTGACAATCAGTTGAGATCTTCCAAAGCCCCCATCTTCTGCCTACCCACCCCTATTCTGCACCCTCTCCCTCAGCACTAGGAGAGCTCTCTGGGATCCTGTATGTCACCTCTGTGTTCCAATCTCAGGCTCCTATTCAAGGACAAGTCCCAGCAATTTCCTTTCTTCTAAATTGTTCAATTTTGCCTCAATTCAGAA